ATACACTTACTTCTAGTCCTTTACACTGGATAAATTCTATGGAAAACTTCTTGTGACAGAGCAAGGCTGAAAGATACTTCAAGCTTCAAATGCTAGTCGTGCTTCTTTGGTACCTCTGACATTGACGTAACATAATATTAATTCTAAGGCGTCGTGTTCGAAGACATGACTAAGGAACTCTTGTTGGTCTCCTATAGCTGTCAAATATCTATAAAGAAAACAAATTTCCATGCTTTTATCACAAATAGCAACAACGGAAAAAATCACTTAAGGTAAATGCACTAGTACTTGACACTGTACCAGTAGTTGACATTTTCTATTTTAAGCATAAATAATAAGCTTTTCCAATTATTTTTAATGTAATTATTACCATCATAGTTAACTAGTGTCATCTATACATCTTCTCTGTAACTGTAGAATTATTTAACCTTGAAACAGAAAATTCCCACCAAATTTTTGTCAAAGTGTTGTGTGAGCTTCAAGTGACAACAAGTTTTCTAAACAAAAGTATTACGAAGGTAAGTTTAAAAAAATTAATATTATTGATTAAATTGTGGATGACTGTAGTTTTATATATATCAATATATTATATGAATATAAAGGTAACATCTTGCTAATGTTTTAAGTTTGTTTTATTCTCAAAACATAAAGTAGGCTAGGTGTCAATTACTAACACACAAAAATACTAGTAGTTGACATAGGTGTCAACTACTAACCATTTATACTGAGACTGTAAAAACTTAATATTTTATTGTTATTTTCATTGTATATAATGTGTACACTTATATTTTAAATATCACGTAAATGTATCCACTCTATCTAGTAGTTGACACTATGTCAACTATTGAAACACTTTGGATGTCAACTACTAAAACAAAAATTTTAAATTTCAGTTAAAAATATGTCTCCTATAAAAGGACAAATGTTCCAATATACAGAAGAAGCTATGGAGAAAGCTATTGAGGAAGTTCTATGTGGAAAGCCAGTTTCAGCAACATTTAACATTACACACTAGTAGATTTTGCACTGAACATGGTATTATATTGGTAGCCCTTCATCAAAATGCAACACATTTGCTTCAGCCAATGGATGTTGCTGTATTTCGTTCTTTGAAAGGGGGTTGGAAAGATGCAGTATACTAGTGGCGGATTGAGAATCAGGCTTCCCCAGTTTTAAGGAAAATTCACTTCTGTCCTCTTTTGAAAAAAGTTTTAGAGGAAAGGTTTAGTACCATCAATTTTAAAAAATGGTTTCCGAAAATGTGGCTTAGTTCCCTGGGATGTTGGTGCGATTATGTTTCACAATGAGAAAATAGACATTTCAAAGAAAATGCATGAATTGCAGGAAATGAAACAAGTGAAAAACTTTATAGAGAAACATATTGATAAACAAAAACTAGCTCTTTTCAAAACAAGCTTAGAATGGAACAATTACAATGAAGATTTATTTATCTCTCTTTCACTATTACAAAAACATTTGCATAAAATACAATCTTTTAGAAGAAGAAATAAACAATTTGAAAGCAAAACAAGGTGCGAAAGAACCAGATAATGAAGACAATATTATTGAAGATGCCACTTATATTGAGGACATACCAAATCTTGAAGACAGCCCTAATGTTGAAGACATTTACGTAGAGAACAAACCTGATAAGCCAGTCGAAGAACAGTTTGAAATAGGTGAGTTATTAAACCAATCTGAGGCTGAAACAGGTAGAAACATTTCGGATGTTTTGGAAGGTCACACTAGTCCCACTAGGAAAAATCTTAACATAACAATATTGCTATTATTCAAGACACTTGTGCTTCTTCATCAAGACAATCACAAGTTCCATCTTCAGCAATTGAAGAATTACCTACACCTTCTACATCAAATGAAATTATACCCTCTCCTTTTAAACAAATACTGTTTTGGCCTGAACTCAGAGTATCCGCAGAAAAAAAAAGAAGAGTGGAAAAAGTTCCTTCTGTGGCTAGTTCAAAAGAATGGCAAACTTATCATGAACATAAGAAGATCAAGCTTCTTGAAGAAAAACAGAAAAGAGCAAAAGAGAGACAAAAGAAAAGAGAAGAAAAAAACTTTATTAAAAAACAGAAACTGAAAGTGACGAAAAAAAAAGTAAGTAAGAAAAAGGAAGAATCATCAAGTGATAATAATGAATCATGGGTTGAATCTGGTAGCAGTCTGGATGATATATCTTTTGAAGTAGGTGATTGCAGTGATAAGGATACTGATCATGTAAATTATATGGAGGGGGATTATGTACTTTCAAAATTCCCTGGAAAGAAAAAAGAATATAAATTTATATGTGTAATACAAGAAAATTTTCAATAATTGTGAAGCAGAAGTTGTGGGTATGAATTATTGTGATGACAGTAAAACTTCATTTCGAATTAATGATAAAGATGTGAGCATAATAACATTTCATCATATCCTAAAAAGGATGCCCCAACCTCAGATACTCATTTCAGGAGAAATAATAAAGTATCAGTTTCCAGATTCAGTGGATGTGGATGGCTAACATTAAAGTTCTCCTGTAATTACATATTCCTAATAAAATATATTTGGGTGTCAATTACTAAACCTTAGATGTGTCAACTAGTGGCATTTTTGCAACAATTTTTGTAAATTTTATAAAAAATATTTAGAAAGCAGAATTGTCCAAAAATTTATTTGTTAAATATTCAGGAAGGATTAGATTACCTGATATATTTTTTATTTAAGTTCAACTACATCGGTTTGAGGCTAAATAATGTTTTTTTTTCTTCTTATAATGTCAACTACTAGTACATTTACCTTAATTAATAATAAGTTGAAAGAATTTTTTATGTAAATATTCACTATTCACTAACCTCAATATTAGTATTTGTCTAGTGGCGAGGTTTGGCGGGAAAATTTGAAGCGTGCCTATCATAAAACTCTCCAGTTCCGCCCAGGAAGAGTTGCTAGATTCAGCGAAGAGAGTACTGGATTTTTGGGGACTTCCCAGGTATACTGGCTCTGGAAATTGATCTGTCGTTGAATTGGATCTCTCTACACGTTGTCGTTTTTTCGCAGGAGGTAATATTTCAGGATCGACGGTCTGGAATTATAACAGAGTAAAGTAATAATAGTAAACAAATGTTATAAATGAGCAACTACCTCTAAAATGTCGTTTCGTACGTTTACAGGTGTTTGTGTTTCTGTGCTCTTTTTCCTTTTCCTGTCATTTTCTAGATCCTGTAAGTAAAAAAAAAATGGTAAATAGTGACATATTAATTAGGTTATGCCAGGTTAAAATAAAATGAATATGACTTACTGTTGATTCTCTTGCAGTGGAAGGACTTCCAGTCTGTGAATTCTCTGCTGAATGAATACCATTTTCTCTAGCTAAAAATATAAATACATTTTGTAATGTCTCACAAAAACGGTTTTATAAGGGACGTTACCTTCTACAAAGTATATTTTTTAGACACTTACGTCGTACTGTCATCATAATCCTTCCATCTCCTCTATAAGGCGGTGATCTCATCGCAGACAGATGGGCGAAAGGTCTGCTAGTGGGTGGAGCAAATCCAGAACTGGTTTTTAATCTTCTAAGTCTCTGAAGTAAAAGGGGCACTAATTGTGCATTCTGCTCTCTGAACCGAGCTGCTATTTCCGGTATTTCCATAGCGGCTCCGAGAAGACCTGTGGCATAACTTTGGAGGGGCTCAACAGAGTTGATTACCCATTTTATTAGGCGTTGGATCAGACTGTCTGATTCGGGCTGTAAAACATTTGAAAAGACATACATTAGGAAAAAACAAGAATAATATTTGAAGGGTTTGGAATAAAAAGGGTATAAGTGCGTTTTTTTTTTTAAATATGAGATAAGTACATATTATAAAATTTAATATTCTATATTTTTAGAATAATAAGGGTATAAGCTTCAAACGTAACATATAGTGCCATCTACGAGCTAGTAGAAAAATCTACTAAAGAAATCTTCAAAATGTGTTGGAATAGAAAAGGTATAAGCATTACTTTTACCGTTTCTATTCCAAGCGACGAAGCGATTCCGAGATTTCCGAGCATAGTGAGCTTTGTTAAAACGTGTTGCATTAATTTTGTGTGATCTAGGTACATCTACATAATATGGAAAATTGTACAGGTAAATTGTTTTTAGAAATATTATTGTGTATGTATAATACGAATAAACGTAAATATTTACCCTACAGAATAAGTAAACAGTAAAAAAATTAGGTTGTGTTTCTGATTTTAAAATTATTTATTTTTATTTTTTAAGATATTGAAACTGCTGAAGACCCTTATTCCACCGATAGCGGGAGTAACTACAATCCATCCTCTGAAGAAGAAACTCTAGAAAGTGATAGTTCAGATAGTAATCAAGATGTTTGCATTGGTAAGTGTGGTCCAGTATATGTATTAGTTATGCAGCCTGTTTATTTATATGATAAAAATGATATATTATTAAATTTGATATCATTACGTATATACAGGCGTTTTATTAATAATTGGAAATATTTTAACTCTTGATTCCTGGGCTAAAAATATTAAGATTTAACTGATTTACAGGGTGTTTTATTTAAGAATTTAAAAAGTATTTGTGCCCAGTACTTTAAAGCTATTGGACAGATTGTATATTTACAATAAGTGGACATAAGTGTATTTTATTTAAGCGATTTGGTTAAATATTAATAATTTGAGCCCAGGAATCTAGAGTTAAAATATTTCCAATTATTAATGAAACACCCTTTATATGTATAGGTCAATTTGCTCTTATTCCTTTGTATTTTAGATACCAATATTAAGCCAAGAAAGAGGCAGAAAAACAAGTCCGAATGGAAAGTAAATAAAACGAAAATGCTTAAAACCCAAGGCAAAGAATACATTGGGTACAAGAACAAGCTGCATAGAGAAAGAAAATTGGTGAAATTTAGTCACAGTTGTAGATATAAGTGTAGTTCAAATTTTACAGAGGAAATAAGACAAGAACTATTTGACACTTTTACAAACTTCCGACTTATGACCACCAGACCTCATACTTGTCATCTTGCATAAAGAAAACTGAAGTGACTAGAAAAAAATCCGGCAATATAAAGAGCAAGTTTAGTACACAAATAATCCTTATGAATCAACGAGTATGTAAGGAGTTTTTCTTGAAAACGTTTGATATTACCAATAGGAGATTTACAGTAGTGTGCCAAAAAACCAATAATTTACAAATGTGTGAGCCAGATAAGCGAGGGAAGGGTCCGAGTAAACGAAAAATGAGTGAAGAAAAACGTAGATTGGTAATTGAACATATAAAACAATTTCCTAAATACAGTAGTCACTATTCACGCCAAGCAAATGTAAATGCTAAATATTTAGCACCCGAACTGACCTTAAAAAAAATGTATGATCTCTACAAGGCTGATTGTGAGGCACAAAATTTTACTGCTGTAAAACTATCATATTACCGATTTGTTTTTAATACAGATTTCAATTTGAGATTCCATCGGCCACACTCTGATACATGTTCACGATGTGATTCATATCAAAACATTATTAAACATAACCAAGAGGAATCTAAAATTTCGGAAACAAAAAAACTGTTAGAATTGCACCAGCGAAAAGCACAAAAGGCATTGGCGTGCAAGAATGCAGATATTGAGCGTTATAAAGGGTCAGAAGATACAGTAGTTCTATGCTTCGATTTGCAACAAACCCTACCCACTCCCTTGTTGACCACATCTAAGGTATTCTATCTACGACAGCTATGGACATATAACTTTTGTGTTTATAATTTACTCAGTGGAACCCCTCATATGTTTGTATGGAATGAAAGTATTTCAGGAAGAGGTTCTCAAGAAATTGGATCTTGTTTATTCAAGGTAGTACCGCAATATTTTGCTATTTTTACTCATTTATATTTTTTTATTTTTATTTTAGTTTATCACAATGCTACCACCAAACATAAAAAGAGTTATTGCTTATAGTGATTCTTGTGGTGGGCAAAACAAGAATAAAAATATCTGTAAATTATTCATGTTTTTGGTAAAAGCAACTCAAATAGAAGAAATTAGTCATAAATTTCTTGAACCTGGGCACACCTATATGGAATGCGATAGGGCTTTTGGACTAATTGAAAAATCGAAAAGAAAAAATCCTCAAGTATTTTTACCAGACCATTGGATAGACGTGATAAAAAGCTCATCAAAGCGTTTTATTGTACATTCCATGAGACAAGAAGATTTTTTGTCTTATTCAAAACTTAATAAAATTGTCAATGATCCCAAACGAGACTGTGAGAACCAAAGTATTAAATTTCGGGATATACAGTATTTTAGATATAATAGCACCGAAGAGCCCTTTTCATTCTTTTTTAAATCCACCTTGGATGAGGAATTTCCTTTCTATCAGTGCATTTGTAAGATAATGTCCTCTGGTCGCCCATCTTTTGACAGCAAACTTATATTATTTTGCAGTACAAATAACTGCAAGAAAATTAACATAAAGAAATGGAAGAATTTACAGACTCTTCTTGAATTGATTCCTCCTATTTATCATTATTTTTATACATCAATGCAGTATGAATCGAATACAGCGAAAAATAAAAGAAGAGCTGTACAAATTACAGAAGCACCAGAGTTTTCTGAATTTCCTGATGATGATGATAATACAATATTATCCTCTGATGATGATTAATAAACAGTTTAATTTTCAAATATGTACTTTTATTTAGAATAAAAACTGTATAAGTACATTTTTTTCAATAAAATTTTTTTTTTTCTACTACTTTTTATTTTTATATTTGGAACCAAAGAATAAGCTCCTTACAAAATTGATGTAAGCATCATACTTTACCTAAATTATTTAAGTAATTTACAGTGATGAAATAACTTTAAGTCCAATTATCTCAAAACAAGGTTTAATGCACTTATACCGTTTTTATTCCAAACCCTTCATTTATAAGACGATTCATTTTTAGCAATATTATTGATTATATCAGATGATAAGAAGTGTCAATATAAAGTTTCAGGTCCAAAAGTCAAACCAGTGTTGTGCAATAAAGTTTGAAACAAGGCATTCTGTGAAAATTTAAAAATCGGTGTATCAAGCCATGACCAGCCCTCAATGTTTTGTAGATCTCATCAACCATGTTGACTAGAATTTGTGTGCTCACCCCGATATTCCGATTTTTCAAAAACTAATTTTCTTACTAAGTCTTGATATTATTTACTTAGAAATAATTGCTTCATCAATCCCTTTCTCAGGGATGCAGGTGGGGTGACTGGGTCTATTATTGAGATAGACTCCACCTACTATCATCTGCTCTGTTTCAAAGGCTCTCCATAGTATTCATCACATCAGTAGTCCATTTGTTGCATATTCATTAACACAGTGCTAAACAATATTTTATGGAACTGCAGAAGTTGATTTTGACATCGGATAGGAGCATCTTCCACTGCTTGTTCCATTTTATTGATAATGGGGTTTTCTTGGGTCTCATCTAACTGTGTGTCACAGTCTTGCTGGATACTTTTGTGACATTCGATATATGACCTAGTCTGCTTGTTACCTAGTCGTTGTTTTTTTAGTAAGTTCTTTTGCAGTTAGGTAATTGTATTCTCCTGAGATCTCTTTTTACCCTTAGTTTTGCTGGTATTAGTTTTAACTAAATTTACAGTGGTCCATATCCAAGTAGACATTTTTGTCACTTTCATCATCTACTGAGCTCCAGAGAGGTGCTTTTGATGATAACTAGCTCAGAATTTTGGTTTGCTTTTCCAAAATGAAATCTCTACTTTAAAAGAAATTGCATCTGCAACAAATTCTAATAATTCAATAATTAAAAAACACTTTTTTTATAAAGATCCTTATGACAAATGAATTAAATGTTTAACATGAAGTAGTAACAATGTTTTTTATTTAAAAAAAGAAATTATCTTGTATGAATAATGTATTCCAGGAGTATTGTCTTAAAGAGTGAAAAAACAGCTGAATCAAGCCCATATTATCTTAAATACATTCAGATTTAAAGTTATCAAGAAGATTTCCTTGAATAGTTCTTAGGGTTCACAAAAATCTGCTAAAATGACTGAAGCTTATATAACCACAGCATGTTGCATTGTTGTGTTAATATAAATATTGCCTATGATAATAACTTAATCTAATAAAATGTTTATTTCTTTACCTGGTATACTGCAGTAGTATCTAATCCTGGCATGATATCAAGCAATAACCTACATGCAGCAATGTTCAACTGATCAACATCTCTGCCACTAACCCCATTTCTGGAATAATATGTGTCTCGAAGGTAATCGTTAATAAGCTGAAACATAAAAGTGTTGAACATTCATTAAAATAGGAAGGCTACGTTGGATTGGACATGTGGAAAGAATGGAAGAAGGCGAAATACCAAACAAATATTCAAACAAGTGCCAGTAGGAAAAAGAACAAGAGGAAGACCGAAGCTGAGATACGTAGAACAAATAGAAAATGATATAACAACAATAAAAATTAAAAACTGGAAAAAAAAGCACGAAACAGGTCAGAATGGAGAAGAATCCTTGAACAGGCCAAGACCCAAAAAGGGTTGTCGAGCCAGTGATGATGATAAAAGTGTTGATTTAAACCAGTTTTTATTGATATATGTTTCTAAGCATATCTGGGGAATAAAACACAAACAGTAAAATAATTTTATCAGTATTTGACATTTTGATGCCCAGACCAGACAATGTTATTTAAAAATCAGAAAAATATTAATAATATACTATTGAAAATCAACCAGAACAAGAAAAAGGAACCAATAAAGATGACTTAAGTCCATGGTGTATTTTTGATCAATTAATCGGAGATGACTCATCTACATGTACACATGTATCGAGAGTCCATTACAATGGTGAAAAAATCATCGCCATGTATATACTAACGTAACCACTATATTCATAAAGTATTGTCAATGTGAACACATGTTCAAAATCTAGTTTAATTTGAAATAAAAAAAGGACATGGTTAACAATACTATTTGTATTGTTTAGTTTATTTTTCAAGTTATAATAAATATATCATTAGTTTCTTACACTTCAATAAATATACACATAAACGATAATAGCCATTATGTTTGTTTATTTAGGTACTCTCTTACTTGAAACTACTTTTAAACAATCATAGTTACTTGTTTACGAAAATTTAAATTTTTAAATGCATTCATTTTTTTTTTGGAATCCTGAGAAAACTAACAAATATTTTTGAAAAATTTAAATGCAAAATGAAAGATTACATTATTACTGAGGGCCGAAAGTCCCTTAGAATAAACAAAAAGTTTTTTTGAATGAGATGTTTGAAATTAAAAATCACACTATTTTTTTTTACCCCTATAACTTATTATAGAAGTTTTCATGGACTTCATAGCGGCCCTCGGTAATAATGTATTGTTTAATTCTGCGTTTAAATTTTTCAAAAATATTTATTAGTTTTCTCAGGATTCGAAAAAAATGAATGCATTTAAAAAATATTGGTCCGAAATTTTGTGCCTACGTTCTTAACGATAAAACTACCACGACCCACCTCTACTACTCGTTACTCGTTGTTTTGACTAGACAGACGTTGTCAAATAATTATTGTGTATGACTATTTTTTAATGTGGCGATATTGTATGCAGTTTATTATTTCATATTGGGAATAAGGCACAATGTGACTTTAAAATAAACTTAAAACATTAATAAATTTTATTTATATAAAACGATTACCGTGGAAATAAAAATGTTATATTACACTTATTGTAAAGTAAACTTGTGGCATATTCCCAATAAAAAAAACAGTAAGCTGCCATTTAAATCAATTTTGCCCAAATTTGATTATCTTAGAACATTGTTCAAATGCAAAAAAGACAACAGATCAAATAAAACCAATAAGTTTGGCAACATTGAACTTCCCCTATTTCCACGCTTGCATGTTCGGCGATATAAAGGGAGGACCTAATATACCTATCTCTTTCTAAACAGCTGTTTCTCACTTCATCTCACGTAAGGTCCATACCGACCATAAAATTTTTCCTACACTGTATATGCAATTGACTTATTCTATCTAAACTCTTAAAATGTTTTCTGTTTCTATCTACAAATCCTAACATCTTAAAATTCATATTAATAGTTATATTTTAACGCTCATTTAACTATAAAATTGACTCAAATTCCACAACAAAATAGTTTCATGCATATTTGGGTAATTCTATATTATTGCTGTAGTCCTAATATTGTTTAATAAAGTTTTACTATGTTTGAATGTCATTTGGAACTTTCTTATTTTGTAGAAACATTATGTTTACCTGTAACCAAGTAGATTTATGCTATGCTAACTCCTTATTTTATCAAGTTCAAACTGCAACAAATGGTCTATAGACAGCTATTTTATTTATGAACTTCTTCCAAATTGTGTATTCACCAAATAAATACAACCTTTACATACCTATCCATCCATTAAATAGCAACTTTAGTACAAATATTTGTCTTTCTAAGATTACCATGACTGATATTTTTAATAGCATAATTAAGCTGCCCAATAAGCTTACTGCTGGTCCAGATAGAGTGCCTAATTGTTTATTAAACAAGTGTGTCTGTACCCTTGGAATACAATTTGTTACATTGTTTAATTGATCTCTGGAAACCTCTGAGTTTCTTCTTCATTGAAAGAAAGTTATGTTGTTCCCATATTTAAAAATGGTCAGAAAGACAATATTGAAAATTATCATAGCATTTGTATACAATCTGCAATCCCTAAGTTCTTCAACAGTCTTGCAGCAAAGCAACTTTCTTGGTTATGTAAAGGCTTAATATTTCCATGGTTTTCATAGCAAAAAATCCACTGCAACAAACTTGGTTTGCTATCAGTCTGATATATTATCTCATATGGAAGACTGTAAACAGGTAGATGCAATATACACAGATTTTTCAAAAGCATTTGACTGTGCAGGTCACCAAATACTTTTGGGCAAATTAATTAATGTAGGCTTTCATATCAGGTTTGTTGAATGGATTAAAAATTCTACATCTGAGAGAAGTCAAAGAGTCAAGATAGGTTGTCATCTGTCTGACAGTATCACAGTAACATCTGGAGTTCCTCAAGAAGGCCACACTTCTCTACTTCTTTTTAATATCTTCGTAATTAAAGACATCACTTCCTGTTTCCTAAATAACAAATGTCTTATTGGCAGATGACTTGAAATTTTGGAAAGTTATAGATAGTTTAAAAGATCAAGCCTGGCTACAAGATGACTTAGACTCATTACAAGATTGGTGCAATCAGAACAAACTCCACTTAAATGTAAAAAAATGTTAAGTTTTAAATAAGTTTTTCTCGTAAAGTCAATAGAATTGGAATAAGCTACACTATTAATAATCAGCCACTGAATTATGTTTCTTCTATTGAGGATTTGGGTGTTACTTTCGATGTGAAGCTTACTTTTTGTGACCACATAAACTCTATTTCAATAAAGGTATCTAAACTTCTTGGTTTTGTTGAATTGCAAGTATTTCTCCATTAATTCAACAAGATTAGTGTATTGTTGCTTAGTTAGAACTATTTTGTAATACTGTTCAGTTATTTGGTCATCATATTTTCAGAACAATATTGATACCATAGAAAGAGTCCAGCATAAATTTTTGAGATATTGTGCTTACCCCTTCCACACTACTATTGAAACTCATGATTATTCCTGTATAGAACAGCAATTATCTTTACCCTCACTCAAGAACCATAGTGCTATGTTAGGAGCTATATTTATATATAAGATCATACATTGATTTATTGATTGTCCAAATCTGTTAAGCCAGATTAACTTTAATGTTCCCCATCAAGCTCTATGTTCCCACAATATTTTAAATATTCCTTTCCACAGAACAACCTAACATATTCACAACCCATTGGATAGGTACATGGGGCTATTAAGTGTTTGCAATTTTGATATTTTCATAACTTTAACTCAGTTAAAAAGATCTCTTGCTTTGTGATATGTATATTGTGATTGTTGAATTTTGTTCTTGTTATATTTTGTATGTTTTTTTAGTATGTTTGTTTAAAGTAATTTCAAGTTTTGAATCCTAACTGTGATGTTATAAAAATATTGTCATTAAATTGTAATTTAATGGGGTATCCCATGTAATAATATATGCTCATATTATTAAGTGCTAGATGTTATTTCATCTGTATTCTCTGGTTTTACCAGAGGGTAAGAGGGTACTTACTACACTCTTTTCTTCCAAAATTTCAATTTTGTCATGGACTAGATGCTTTTGCTAGCTTTTTTAATACAAAATATGGTTTCTTGTGAAAAGAACAACATTGAGTGCTCTTTGTTGTGTTTTTAATTCAAGGGAAAAATTTAATACATGTGCCAATAATGCATAACATACACCAAAATGATAGGAAAATGGACCTAAGGTATAAATTTTGAATTTTTCAAGCCCACTATTCTATATTTAATACTAGTAATTTTATGTACTTTTACACATTAAACAGCAAAAACAATTGATAGTCAATTTTTTGCTTAAGTTATATAAATATAGTTTTTATATTTTTCTAGCTATACCCAAAACATTTACATTTGAACCTAATTACCAATGTTTTTTTATTGTAATAATGAAATATTGCTAAATTTTATCATTTTGTGGTTTATTCTCAAGACATTATTTTCCCCCATGGCTTTACTTACTTTGCTACTAAAATTATCTTTCTTAAAAATCACTTTTAAAACTTGACCTAAAAGGCATTGAGGATCTATTCGTGAAGGATGGCGTTCATCAAAAGGATCCGGATCCATCTTTAAGTAATTTTCAGTCTCTACTTCTACTATTTCTGCCAACCTGGAAAGATAAATAAAATAAATTGTTGTATAATTACTCATTCTATTTTAATGACTCACATATTGAGCATAATTGCTCTATATGCTTAATCAGCCTATAAAAATTGATAAGGACAAAAACTTATTGATTTGTACTGCTAATTTATTATTTTAGTAAATATTCAAAACGTTCCCTTCATATTCATATTCTTACGGGATATTTTTAGTACCCAGTAAGTTTAGTAAGTAAATTGCATGACAATTTAGGGCTACTTTTGGGAATCCTACCTGGTCAAAGTTGGGACTGGATCATACATATGTTGGTGTTGCTCGTCCTCCCCATTTTTTTATGACGAGGGAGAGTTCACTCATCACAGCTGAACTGGTATTATTTGATGCCATTGTGTGAAATCTTTACTATTTTCGTAAAAGCATGAGGTAGTTTTGCTTAACCTAACTTTTTTTGAGATTCTGTTTTTATGACGAAATATTTCAAAAACTGCAAACACTAAAACAACACCCCAAAAACACAAAAAAGTTACACTTAAAACTCCCAAATTAAGTCAATAACTGTCTACATTTAAAAGAAATGTGATTATACTACAAATACACTTCCCCATTTCGTTTTCTAATACTTCTCTTTATGGCTGCCAACAGTCTAAAACAAGAAAGACAAAAATAACCATTGTGATCCACAAACAGTTAAAAATAAGTATAAAACTGCAATATAATACATATAATAACTATAAAATTAGCAGCTAAGCAAAAGTATTTTTGAAAATCATGATAAAATTGTAATTAATTACATTGTTTTAAAGAACTACTTTTCATAGTGAATAAATCAGTATCCATGGTTACCTAGTATTTAAGTTGTCAGGCTTGTAGTTGATACTTGTGACAGTGACACTGACAGCTTAAGCCGCGTGTTTGTGCGACAATTGCGTATAATAATATTTTCCCCGGTTGTTTTTGAATATTTTCGAATTTTTAACAAGAAGTACACAAAATGAGTGGTGACGGTAGTGACACTGAACAATTTGATACTTTATTTTTATCTGTAGCTCAATATCATCCCCAGGGTCCAACACAGGTAAGAACTATCTAGAAAGTTAACCTCAAAAATGCATAACAAAAATGTTTTTAGCTTCTGGATACATTTGTGAATTTTTTGAGTAGAAAAACCGACTTTTTCATAGGCGCCAAGGAAGGAGAATGGGAAAAGGTAAGATCTATTTGTATTATATTTTCGTCTTGTAACGTTCTACTTTGATTTGACAGTTGGTGATGGACACTTTCAAAAAATACGAAAAGTTAAGCAGGTCAAAGCACGAGGAGGAACTAAAGGAAAAGCGTGAACAAGAAGCTCGAAAAAAAGCAGCTGCTGCCAAAAAGGCAGAAGCGGAAGTTGTTAAGCCTGCTCAAATCACTGAATTGACTGATGAAGAAGCTGAAAGGCTTCAGGCTGAAATAAATGCTAAGTTAAACACCTCTGGTAACGCTGAAAGTTCTTCAAATGGTTCAGAAGCTGTGGCGGCGACTAAAAAGGTAGAAGAAGATGAGGATGAATCTGAGAAAGGCAAGATACTGCCTAACACAGGAAATGGATGTGATCTAGAGAAGTACAAGTGGACGCAAACCTTAGGAGATATTGAGGTAAGTCTTTTATTTATTATTAGTATGTTGCAAATTGTTTCTAAAAGACCAACATTTTATCTAATGTGATGTATGTGATGTATGTCATCACTTGTTAAGTAGTACTGGTGGACATATGAAAACTCTGAGGATGTTTCTATGTTATTTGTTCACCTCTGGCTTATATCTAAAATCCATGACAAAAACAAATTGTTTTGCTATATGCAAATGTTCTTAATTTTTGTAACAATTTGTTTTTTATTTTTTTTTATTCCTGCTGATAAAATTTATATCACAGAGACTGATGACGTTAATGATGTCATTGCTATATTTTAAAATAGTTTCTTTCTAGCATCTCTATAATTTTTATTTTTTTTTTGATTAGTCAAGATTATTCACAAACCTTCTAAATAAATTATATTTGTCATAAGTAAAATCCTATTATACTATACAATAAGTATGGATCTGTCAAATAGTATGGATCTGTCATAAGTACCAACCTTTAAACTTCTAAACTTCATGTGTCTGAATGTGGGATCAATTGGATCTATAGTTTGCAAAATAGTGGTTTAAGTGATGCTGCTTTTCCAATTTTCTGAATTTGATCATTAGATATAGCTTCCTGATTGGAAAGATACTGTTTAAGCAGCAAAGAAATGGTTTGGTAAGCCTCATTAGAACCCTTGGTCCTCAGAAACAATGGTTAAGAGGTGGTAATGATCTGGTAGTCATCCTTAAAAACATAAAAACTTTGGATTTTGGAAGACAGTGTATTCTTAAATATCAATGTCAATGAGTCAATAATTGTCAATGAGTTAGTTGTGTTCAAAGTAGGCCTAAAATTTATTCAAACAAAAACAACATTCATGTATATTTTCAATGTTGTTTTGGACCAGTACTTAAACTGACGTTTTTTCATCAATATGAGATTAGCTGAGTGACCACAGATGCAAACATTACCTGGCAAAGTTGCTCACCAGTTAAATTAAGAAAGAATTAATTGTCAATAATAAATATTATGTAATGCTGTTGGTGAATTTGACAGAAAAAATTGTAAAAGGAAGGCACAAATGACCAATAATGAGATGCTATTTCATCAAGACAATGCACTGTGTCACAAGTTAATGATGATGAAAAGTAAGTGAATTGCACTGTATTCATGTAATCACAAATTAATGCTACAAAGAAAAAGATTTGGATCAATTGAGGAAATTATTGTGGAAATCAGTGTATTTTGCCAAATACTCCTACAAAAAAACATCAAATTGGTAGAGAATAAGGATAATTTTGCTAATACCTTTGGTTAACCAAAGTCATAATATATTGAGGGGGCCATTACTATTACTTTTTATATTGAAATGAGTAGAAACCAGGCTTGAACAAGCTTAAAATTTAAAAATATATTTTCTTGTGCTATGATTGTTCTGCCGTTTCAACTTTTCTTCAGGCATATGTAAGATCCTTGCATAAAATTCAAAGCAGTCTAAAATATTTTGGGAAGATTGTTTCTCAGGAAATTGAAAATGGTAGGAGACAATTTTGAGAAATTCTGTAATTTACTTATAGGTTATATTTCATTTTTATATTTGTGTGTCATATATTTAACTCTCGCCACTTTCACAAATTTTGCATACTTTCATAAGATTTCTAAAATAAAGAAACCAATAATTTTGTTCTATTAAAAACTAAATTGAATTTTATAATTGTCTATCTTTCCTCTTGGGAAATGGGGACATACATACTCTCTAAAACACAAAAAATTGACATTGTAATAAATCTGTTCTCTTTTTTGTACCAGTTCTGTTGGGTATAATGTGAAAATTTGTCAATTCTTTCTTTGTCTTTGCTCACTATTGGAAACTAGTGCTTTATAACATTTTTAGTGCTGTATTTAAATTTTATTTGTATCAACATTATGTGATACTGCAGTGAAATTAAAAACATAATTTTTCCATTTGTTTATTACAATAACTCTAACTATGTGTGCTGTCGACTGTCAAATTCTGCACACATCTTATTTTTTCATGGCCAACTTTTGGTGTTATGTCCTGCAATATATTGTTTAGAACTCTTTATGGCAATATTTTTTGGAATTCTAACTACACTGAAGTCTCTGACGAGGTAATTTTGAAATTGATGAATCTTTGAACAGTTGGTAAAGTTTGTTGTTATACCTGGTTTTTCATATCATCATATATGAAACATGAGAAAATTTGACAATCTCTGACATTTCCAGTCGAAGGTTGAAGTGCCTTATTGAGGTTAATTATTGTAAAGATTTTGTAAGCTAGATAGTGGTTGGAATATAGTCATTTCCGTTGTATACTTGAATATCATGTACTTGGATTTGTAATTTTCTATTTATAGTATGTCCATGTATACTTATGCATATCTTTGTGCCCAAAGAACCTATTTGAGAGTTTCAATTGATTCTCAGTAGCGAATTGTCTCATTTCTTTTCCTCTGTTATTTAGGTGTTGTTCTGTATTTGTTCTAACTACTTATGGAATAGGCATGTTTCCGATTCTAAAGGTAAGTCACCTCCTATAATCAAATGCTATATTTTATGGCATTTGATTATTTGCAATAATAATTATAGTATGAACTCTATTGAATTTTAATCTTGTTATTATCAGTTTATTTATGTATTCATCATCAACATTGGCTCCACAATCATGGTGGGTCTTGGCCTACTCAAGGATAAGTCTCTATTCTCTCCTATTCTTCGCATTGGCTTTCCAGTTTTGTATTCCCAACATTCTCAAGTCTTCCTCCACCTGATCCTTAAATCGTGCTCTGGGTCTGCCTATCCTTCTTACTCCATCTATTCTTTGGTTGTAAATATGTTTTGGCGGCTCCATCTCATTCATTCTCTCCATGTGACCTAACCACCGCAGCCGGTTTATTGGACCTATCAATAATATCAAGTTTCATAGAGGCGGTAATGTTCGAAATTATAGCGTCTGTATCTGTCCGTTACTGCATTATTCTCATTAATTCGTGAGCCTAGGTATATAAACTTTCTTACTCCTTCGAAAGTATATGTTCCGATCGTTAGATCTTCGGGTTGTGCTGTTTGTGTATAATTTGATACTTTCATATACTTTGTCTTACTCCGTCTCACTTCGTGTGCTGGAACAAACAGGTGATGAGTATCAATGCCATACTCATATGTTTTTTCCAAAGCTTGTCTTAGAAGGAATATTTGATCGGTCGTTGATCTTTCTTTACAAAACCCACACTGATATTTACTTATTATGTCTTCACAATATCCCGATAGTGGGTCGTAAAGAATATATGCCAATATTTTGTATTGTTCTGAAGCTATTTTCTTTACTAATGTTATACATTATAATATTTAGTACTATTATATAAATATAGGCTCCATCTGTCCGTGTTTATTGTGAATTACTGTTGCAATACCTTCAGCCATACTTCACAGACTTTTGGATAGGTGGCACACTTTGTAACTCTGAATTTAAAATATTAATGGTATGCAATAATTACTAAATTTCCTATTTTTGATACTATTAATCTTAATGAATACTGAATTTAATAACTTTTCAATACAATTAAATATAATAAAACACAATTATGTACATAGAAAATACAAACAACTACAATTAAATACAGTTAAATTATTGGTTTACAATAAGTAGTAAGCATTCCATAGATAATCGAAACAAAACGTGATCAGAGTACACAGTATATGCGGGATATATGCCTGTAAAGCGAAATACCCCGGCAAACTATCGACAGTGGGTTTACTGCTGGTCAAAAGTTGATCATTTAATGATACCTTGATGACCTGCGTTACTTTTCAGGCTGGAACACTGAAAATTTTTGTTAAGTAGTGAACAGATTTTACAATATTAAAGAGGTCAAGGACAATTAAATACCATTAAATGGTTAGTTTACCTTTAATTACGATAACCTTTGTTTACCTTTGATTAAGATAAGATCAACCTTTGTCCCTCTTCTCAAGAAGGCACATGCTAAGCAGTGCAGTGATCATCGCACGATCAGTCTGATGAGCCATACCTTAAAAATATTCCTCAAAATAATTCACGATAGAATTTACAGAAAATTGGAAGAAGATATCGGAGAAACTCAGTTTGGATTCCGGGAGGGATATGGAACTCGCGAAGCATTATTTGCCTTTAACATCTTGACACAGAGGTGTTTGCATGTGAATCAAGATGTATTTGCTTGTTTCATTGATTAAAACAAGGCGTTTGATAACGTCAAGCATGACCAACTTTTAGATATCTTGAAAGCTAAACAGTTAGACACCCGCGATATAAGAATAATATCTACTCTGTATTATAATCAGAAGGCAGTTGCACGCATCGAAAACAGCACAACAAATGAAATTCAAATTAAAAAAGGAGTTAGACAAGGATGAGTGCTGTCGCGAATGCTGTTTAATCTCTATTCAGAAGAAATTATGAAAAAAGCACTGGAGGAAGAAGAGATTGGGATAAAAGTTAACTGCCAACCAATTAATAATGTTAGATACGCAGATGATACGGTTTTAATGGCGGAGACAGTAGAAGACCTGCAAGCCATTTTAAGCAAGGTAGTCACAACTAGTGAAGAGAAAGGGTTAATATTGAATGTCAAGAAGACGAAATTCATGATTATTTCAAAAAAAAAACAAAGATTGAATGCAAACCTGTACATTCGCAATAGCGAAATCGAACGGGTGCACAAATATAAATACTTGGGAACAAGTATTAATAACAACTAACAACAATGACATCGCAGATAAAATAAAAACTAGAATTGGAAAGGCTCGAGCTCTTTTTGTTAATATGAAGGACATTCTGGAAGTCATGACATTAACCTAAACCTGAAAATGAGATTGGTTAGATGCTACATCTTTTCGATACTGCTGTACGGAGTAGAGACTTGGACTTTAAACAAGAGCAATATCGATATACTAGAGGCCTTCGAAATGTGGATATATAGAAGAATTTTGAAAATACCTTGGACAAACAAAATAACAAATAGTATAGTTCTTCGAAGAATGAACAAAGAACGGGAGCTGTTGATCACCATCAAGAGAAGAAAGCTGGAATATGTTGGTCATGTGATGAGAGGAAAAAAGTACCGATTGCTCCAGTTAATTATCCAAGTAAAGATTCAGGGCAAATGAAACGTGGGAAGACGACGTATATCTTGGCTGCGCAATTTAAGAGACTGGTTCCAGTGCACATCTAACCACTTATTTAAAGCAACAGCTTCCAAGATACGAATAGCAATGATGATTACCAAACTCCGTAGCGGAGAGCACTTGAACAAGAAGAAGAAGGTTAGTTTACCACTAAGCAGTACTATTTATTCGATGAGGAATTTAATCGAAACGTACTCCCATGCCTTCGCATTTTTTTTTGCTGTAGTCAAGGCTTTCTCTAAGTATATTTTGAATATGGTTGGAGATGTGAAACAACCCTACAGGAGCTTTTTGTTGCTGTGAAGTCTCCTATGATTCTTGTTCCCATTTTAATGGACAATTTCTTTTCTTTATACAGAGCTTTTGTAGCTTCTATGAGTTCCGTCTGTATTTCTAATTTGTACATTGCTTCCCATAGTTCTGACCTTGGCTACAGAGTCATAGGCCTTTCTCAGGTCCACAAATGCCAAATGTATATCTCTATTTTTTGCTTTTTTCTTTTCCAACAGTGTGTATATGTGGTCTATGCATGATCTTCTTGCCCTGAAGCCTTCCTGATCCTCCCCGATTTTGCCTTTTATCGCTTGCTTTATCTTTTTTTGCAGTATCTTCTTGTAAGATTTCTTGTTTAATTCAGTGTTAATTGCTGCTAATACTACTTCCAGGTTCTTCCTAAAGGAAAATCTTGTTTTTCTCGTGTTAGGCGACCTAGGTTTCGAATCTGGTACGATTCTACTTTGCTGTTGAAGTAACTACTTATAGGATAAAAATTAAAACTACAACAATATGAATAATTTTTAATTTTAAACAAATTTACTACATACATCTCTGAATGATCTGAAAATGACATTCAGAAATTAGATAAATATAAATAAATTTTACGACACTCGTTCAATCATTATCACAGTAAAATTATTATCTACATCTTACTACAACTGTTGATTATAATATTCGTTAAGCTAGAAGAGGCATCAGCAAATCTTTTTGTGGAAAACATTAGGTTTGCTGACTCCTATTTTAGAACATGTATAAGCTTTTTAAAGGGTTCTATTTCTTCCCAAATGTTTGCTGTAACTTTATATGTAATGTAATTCCCGCACCCTTTCGTCTTCCCCAAATAAGACATCACAACCATTTCATCTTGGTCCCATGATATTTTTCAATCAACTACTTGAGATTGACACTTTGCCACATCATTGCGACTAGCAAATGCCACTACCATGTCCCTTGCATGTTACTAACAAGGTGCAAATGACCATTGGTTACCATCATTGCTATCTTAATTTTATTCACTACCACCCTAAATAACATGCTCGTATCAACACCATACCAATCTCGCAAGTTCTTCAACCATGAGGTTCTTCTTCGTCCTGGACTGCGTTTGCCTGCTATTTTTCTTTGCATGATATTTTGTAGCAACCTATATTTGGGACCTCTCATTACATGTCCGAAATACTCCAGCTTTCTCTGCTTGATGCTTTTTATGATATCCGTAGTCTTGCTGAGACGTTCTAGTATTGTGGAGTTTCGAATCTTCTCCACCCAGGAAAATTTGAAAATTCTTCTATAGCACCACATTTCGAAAGCCTCAAGGCGATTTAGAACGATTTTATTCACAGTCCAGGACTCGGCACCATAAAGTAAGACCGATAACACGTAGAAGCGAAGTAAGCGAATCCTCAATGCCAATTTTAGGTCTCTGTTTCATAACACCTTGGACAGCTGTAAAAGCAGCTCTAGCCTGTTCTATCCTAGATCTAATTTCGCCGTGAGTTTCTGCGTTACAATTTAATTGCTGTCCAAGGTAAACGATTTTATCAACTTGCTCAAGTTTTTTATCTTTTGGATTAGTAGATTTATAGCTTTTTGAGACCACAACTTTTTCGTCTACAAAACTTATGATATATAGAGACCTATTATTATAGGTCTCTATTTATCATAAGTTTTGTAGACTTTTCTCCTTTTTTTCCTTTTTCAATTTTTATAATTTGAGATATCTTAAGTAGGATAGGTGACATACAGCATCCCTGCTTTAATCTGATTTGTATTACTGGTGTTATCTGGTTAATAATTGTTGATCCTTGTTGTTTATTATCCCTTAGCAGTCTTATAGAAAAGATTGTTATTTTAAATATCTTGATTTTTTTTTGTGTTATGAGGCTTTTTGTAGGAGAAAATGATGAGGTGGTTGCAAATTGGTCTCTCTAACAAATCCCATTTCCAGCCGGGATTGGCTGAGTAAAGTCCTCGTTTATTTGGATTTAGATTCACTACATATGTTTCCGTTGTGATCTAATCGTTTGCCATATTGTGTGCAAATGACTTAAGTCATTTTACATGGCATACAATAGGCTAGTTTCCACCGTTTTCTGTCAAAGCAATCTTCAGTTTTTAAATCTCTGGTGGTCATTGCATCTTCGACATCTTCTTTCCGTGACCGTCTTAGTCTACCTCGTTTTCTTTTAGTGAACTTTTCAGTCATTCTACGCAGTACATCAAGTACAGGTGCATCCTGTATCTTTCTCACTAATTTTTTCCAATACCACAGGAAGCTACTTTTTGTTTTATAAGTATATATAAAGTTAATGTGCACCTTTAATATTATCATAACAGCGCCCGGACAGTAAGTGTATAAGATTTTGTAAAATGTTTTTAAATTTAGCACACATTACCTGCGAATGCTCTTCATAGTTCGTCTATTACTCCACTAAATGTTCCATCACGTGAAATCAACACTCACGACAAAGAAAGGCTAAAGAAATTAACTCCTTGCTCAGGACTCACTCGTGTGATTTGTATTGAACATTGTGAGTTTCATATCTACTCTTTAGGCATAACACCCTAGAATTATCATTTGTTCAATAAATTTGAGGAGTTTTTGTGTGAGTGGTGCTTTTATGGTGACGAGTAAGTCAACAAGACTACGAAAAATACTTTCTGGATATCCCTTGTATGTCCCTAAACATTAGAACAAAATAAATACACTTCATCTATTTTACATACTGATGCACGTCATCGGCGTCATAGCCGGTGACGTCACATGATACCAACACGAAATATTTAGGCGGTAGGTCTGTTCTTTTTTAGAATCACTTTGCCGAGTACACTGGCATGACAATCACTAGACATATTTTATTATATACCCGTAGAAATATTATTTAAAAATCTCTATTAATGTTACCTTAAAGAAATACACAATAATATGTTTCATTTAATTTGTATAAATGCATTATAAAGCGTTTTTATCGAGCATTTGTTCGGAACACACTGTAACTGTAATCTAATGAAGTGAAATTTTGGCATACATTGGTAAGACTCATTTGACAGTTGCGGTGTTGTACTTTATTATTTTGAATTTTAAAGTGAATACCTCTTGTTTTATATTTTTACCTATTTAATAAAATCTGTTCTTTTTAGAACAAAATTAGTGTGTTTTATTTCAAAAATGTCACGTAAAAATTTAAATAGTTGTTGTAAAGAGATGGTAATACTTTTGCAATAATTATGTGTCAGGATGTAAATTAGATGAAGTATAGTTGCCACTTACAATATTTTGGCACGTACCCTGTGAATATTAACTAATAACTATATTCTTACTTACTGAACATCCCTTGTATAACCCTAAACATTTGAACGGAAGAAATAGACGTCACTTTATCAAACTGCATAAGGTAAAAAATAACACATTGTAGTTCCTACTAAACATAACTGTCGGTACTTTTACCTTACTTTAACATTGCGGTACTCCTGGTGTACTATTGTACACTTCTTTCTCTATTTTTTAAAACAGTTTTGGTACCATTGGTAAGATAATTTCAAATTTTAAAGTAACTAACATTTTAAATAATTATAAATATTAAAGATAGGCATTTTGCAAAAAAGATACAATTGAAATATGTATATAAAGGTTGGTACGTATCTATGAGCAAAATTGTACGTCTTTTACGAGGGCACATTGAAAAGTTCTTGCCTGAAACCATAGATGGTATAGCTTTAAATTAAAATGTGCATAAGCTTGAACGTTTTAACAAAACAATATGACGATGTAGATACTAATGTAATACTAATACACTTGAGAATTGTTCTGTTACAAGATTATCTATTTTGAATGTCATGTCAATTCCAAATACATCCAAAGCTGTAATATGAAACTTATTTTTGGGTCATACAGCGCGAACTTCTCATTTTTCCCTCATAAATGAATACAAAAATTGTACAAGAACAAATAATCATCAGGTTTTTAAGACCAAAAAGAAAACTACTAGTTTAGTCAGAATTTGAAAAACATTCTTTTAGAAATTTATCACCTAAACTGACAAAATATCTTTTTCCTCTTAACGATTATTTTCCTTCATAAAAACATTTCCTGAAAAGTTTCGAATCTTGTTCCATATAGTTGTATTCAACTTTCTTTCCTCTTATCGATTGGTGAGTTGCTAAACATCTATTCCTGGTTTCGATGCCTAGTTTTTCATTTATGGAAAATGATCTGAAGGCAGGGAAATTTGTAAACAAAGTCCAGCTGCTTTTCTCCTTCACTAAATGCCATCTTAGGAAATTCCTTGTACTTTTGTAGGTATTCAATACCTCTGGTTCTGGGCCCTCACTGAAAAAAAAAAGGATTGAAATTAAATAAAAATTTGGCATTTGATTCATTTTATAAAAAAATATTGATAAAATCAAAAGTTTTTCGCTGAAAGCTGAAATCATACATTTACAGTAACATACTATTGGGGTACGACATGTTTTGTAACAAAGCAGTTGTATATTAGAAGAATTCAGTGTAAGTTAGAAAGAACTGGTAACAGTTAAAATATTTATGATTGATAAGTTCGCTATAAACAGCTGCTAAGTTATTACCATGTTAACTGAAAGGGTCAAGGAGGAATTGTATATCGGAAACAAACATACAGAAGAAAAATCTTCCAAGAGGGACCTAGCAACAGGCAAATGACTACATTCTGCTAGGAGATCGGATGATACATCTAATTCTAATTTATAAACAAAATAAATGGTGGCTTATTATATGATTATATTTTAATAATACTTGTATTTCCATAGAGCGATTACTATTCGGAAGATCACCCAACATTATTCAGTTATGACAACATACTATCAATGATATGCCATGGAATTTGAGAAAAGTGTTGGATACTTACATTCTAAAAGCAATATGGCCGCCATAATTCCTATAGTAAATATAGTAGACATCGTCAGTACCAATATCGTCAACTGGTGCTTCCTACAGAAACTCCTCTGGGGCTGTCTTTGTCTAGTATTGACGTTGACAACCGTGAAATGCGTACTGCTGGCTACCGACACGGTGTCTGGTTCTTTCTTCTTATTGATATCGATAGATGGCGGTAGGTGATCGATACCGTCTACGGATTGGCTTTGGAGATAGTAGCGGATGTTTTGGTCACGCGTCGAAGCCTCCGTCGGTGGTGGGGGGTCTTCGACGTCGGGCGGATGTTGAAGATTATGGATTTGAGCTAGATTGGCTGCTGTTAGAAGAAGTGAACCAGATCGTACGCTCTAAAAAAGTTAAAATTATTTATAAAAGTAAACCACACCATAAAACTACCAACACATCTTTTTAGTAACAAAGGAATTACTTAACTCAGAATTTATAGCTATATCAAAGAAATCTAGTTCCTGCAAGTGCAATTAAAATCATTATGCGACTCTTCAATATCATTCCAGATTATTCCTGAATTTATCTATGGATAAACAGATGGCTTCCATGAAGAAAATGTCTTCTTCTTCTTCCTTCTTGTATGTAGGCTTTTAAGCCTGCTCTTCTTTCAATATTAGCCTCCTTAATTGTTTAAATTATCGCACCTTGGTCTTATCTACCTATCTTTTCTTGGTCTGCCAATACTTCTTCGTCCATTTGGTGACTTATCTCTTGCTATTCATACTATCCTATCCTCCGCCATTTACTAATGTGTTGGTTTTACTCCTTTTCCCGTTTTGTTACCCATCCATTTATGTTTTCTATATTGCATGCTTTTCTTATATTTTCGCTTGTGTCCCTATCCAACAGAGATTTCCCTGATATTCGTCAGAGTATTTTCATCTCTGTTGTTTCGTGTAGTCGTCTCGTTTTAAATGTGTCAGGTCTTGTCTCCGTCGTATATATTAATATATAGCTGCTTTAATTGCTGCTTTATAGATTCTTGTTTGTGTGTCTTGTCTTAGATTTTTGTTCTTCCAGATTGTGTCATTAAGGGATCCTGCCCCTTTACTTGCTTTTAAGCTTTGTTGTCGTACTTCTTCAACATCTCCGTAACTAGTTATATCTATTCCCAGGTATCTAAACTTTACTTTCTGTTTTATTATTTGCCCATCAGTTTCGATTTAACATCGTAATGGGTATATAGTTGTCATACATTTTTTTTCTGTTGATATTATCATATTGTATTTCTTGGCTGTTTTATTGAAGATGTGTTTCTTTGATCTTTGGAGCTCGTCTTCTGTCTAGGCTATTAATTCGGCGTCGTCTGAATAACATAATATTTGGATTTTTTTGTTCCCCATTCTGTAACTATGACCTTTACGTACTGCTTGTATTATTTCGTCCATTATTATATTAAAGAGAAGTGAGCTTAACGAGTCACCCTGTCTGACTCCGCTTTGTACTGATATACACTGTGTTCGTTTTCCATGTATCTTTGCCTGTATTCGATTATGGAAGTAGATGTTTTCGATGGTTCGTATAATATTGATTGGTATGATTCTTTTATTCATTAGGTGTAAGACGTTTTCGACTTGGATGCGATCGAAAGCCTTTGTCAGGACTATAAAACATAGATATGCTAGATTATTGTACTCGATGGCTTTTTCTGTAATTTGTCTTAGTACAAATGCGACGTCTACGTAGGATCTTCTGGTAGCTTTATGAGTAGAAGTCGAAAATCTCAACAAAAAAAATGTGAAGTGACAGTAATACAGTAAGCATCAACTGGCATTATTAAAAATTCCTAATGAAAATTAAACTACTGTGGATACATCAACAGAATCGATCAAGACACAATTAACAAAGCATTTGTGGGACTCCAAAATGTATAGTACTTAAAATAAAAAAGGGATATCCGAGATAAAAATGGGGATAATGGGTCATAAATATATGGAGAGAAAATATCAACATATAAAAGATATGTCAACAGACCGGAAGATCTAAAAGAGACAAATTAAAGTTTCTTACCAAGTCCTATTACAAGACCTATTAAAAGGGGAGATGCCTTTAAAACTGAATGACAAAATGGAATTTTAAAACTAAAACATCGAAGTATCTGAACATCCTTTGTCTTTGCTAATTAGGGAGATATTAACTCATACTTTAAGGCTTTTCGGACATACAGTATACATTCGTAGTTAATTTATGTATACATAAACTTTAATTAACAACAATTACTATTGTTTTACCTTGAAATCAGACTGAAAAAGTCATCCTTCAACTTGAACTTGACCAAGAACAAATTCGCAATGAATGTTTATAGCAACATCTCTAAATTTTATCGCACCAATAACGATTTATTATGACCGCTGAACAAATCATTCTCAGTATTTAGATTTAACTGCACAGAAAAAGCGTGTGCATAATTTATCGTCTTTATTAGCAAATGATGACACGAATGTGGAATGTTTTACAATAAAAATGAAGAATGGAAGTCGTTTCTTTTAGTTATACGATTTTTATTTGTTTATCTATTAGCAGTCAGAATTCAAATATTTTGAGATGATGTCTATATAAACAACACCATTGGGGAGTGGTACACTATTTTCTGGGCTTATAGGTTGTGGTCTGGAATTATTTCGATCTGAAGTTTCATCTGCAAATGTGTCACACGTTGACAAAGTCTCGGTGACAACAGTCTTCCACTCAGTTTGAGCAAGACAACTTCCACTCCTGCTGCATCGCCTTGAACAGTATTTGCTGCAGTTGCAGATGAAACGCCAAGAAGGAGTTGTTGTAAAAACAACAAGTTATATTAATTTTAGTTTATTTTTCATTTTCGCAAATATTGGCTTGAATCTTATGTGACAGATTGTACTTCTTGTCTCAAAATATTTGTGTCATAAATACCTTATTGGGTTATAACCACTGACGCCGGCTTGTCAACACTTTTAGATAAAAATTCAAGCCCAAAGTATCGCAGATGTGAGTGTATTTGCAGCCGAATATGAGGCTGTGTGCGGTCCCGATACGCTAGCGATCTCTTCCTCTCAAAAATGCAGTTCGCTATATTTGCGCGCCCAAAACCACTATGTAAATATTCTGTATGTTTTGTACATATTCTCTAGTGATTAAATGTGTAGTATCGATTGATTACGCTTCATTTTCCTCTAAGTATACCCCAATCAAACCAAACACATAAGGAATCATCGCCGTGAAGTCTGTTTGCATATATCCAAGAGAACTCTTGTACAGTCCATGGTCCTAAAATATTTGGTACTGTACCCGTCGGGGAAGGGAATTTAATAAGCTTTCCCCCAACAATTTGGTGGAGGTCAATCAAAGTTCCATCAGGAATAATGGTCTATAAACCTCGAAAACAATGTTCTTGTTTTTTCTAGAACATAATAAGTGAAGGAAGATTCAAGTTAGTGCATTAGATTTTATTTACTCCAAAAATATGTGGATATCTGGACGAGCTTATGATTATAGCGTAGATGTTTTCACATACTCTCGTGAAGGTTTTCTGGTCAATGACAGACTTCTACTGCACATTACACTTAATAAAGCTTTTTAGTGCAAGTTCTATTTTGGCCGAAATTTCCTGGTCAGTTTCAACACTGCGGTCAATCTAACTACCCAGATATATAAAGTGTTTCACCCTTTCCAGGATTTTATTATCTAATCTTAGTACTGAGTCTTCGTTATTAATTTTTCCGATCACCATCCACTTTGTTTGCTTTGATTGCGTTAAGCACTTTTCAGTGCATTAGTTGTTTACAGCGTTCAACAGAATTTGAAGGTCTTGTAGACTATCTGCCATTATAGCGGTGCCATCTGCTTATCTGATGTTAGTAATAATTTCATCACCAATTTTAACATCTTCGCGAAAATTATTTTAAAATAGCGAAGGCTATCACAAAAACTGGTTCACTGTAGGCATTACAACATCGGTGACATAACAATTCCTCGCTGACCATAACATATCCCTGTCTGACACCCACTTAATACAAACTTTAGCTGAAACCTCGCGATCCACCTTAATACAAATGGTCTGATTGTAGTAAAGATTTTTGAGCAATCTAATGTCATACGTGTCTAGATCAACTTCCAAGCATTTAAATAGTAGAGTATGTGGTACTTTGTCAAAAGCTTTTTCGAAATCTGTAAAACATCGTAAATATTTTTTCTAAACTCGATGCTCTTTTGTAAGAGTATTCGTATGCAAAAAAGAGCCTCCTGAGTACCTAAATCGTTTCGGAAACCAAACTGCTTATCACCAGTTATCCTCTCACAAATTTGTATATGCGACAATGCAATATTTTCATAAAAGTTTTGACCGTGTGACTCATTAAACTGATAAGTCGTAGTCGTTACACTGTCTGGCATTTCTTTTCTTGGGAATAGTTATAAATATTGATTCTAACCAGTTTTCTGGCAATTTGACGCTGCTTTGGAGGTGATAATCTTGATAAACACTCTTATCATGTAATAGTTGTAACAATTCTGCAGGTATTCGTCAGAACCAGAGGCCTTCCTTTGTTTCGCTTGGTCAATGGCCTTCTGAACTTATCGAGATTAGAATTGGTGGGCCAGTATCTCGGTTAGATGTTATTTTTTGGTAAATTCGTTGGTCATTTTAAAATAATAAAATTTTATTATGCAATTTTTAATATCACTTAAAATTCTACCACCAGAGTCTTGTAATACATGTATTTTGCCTGTAAATTCCGCTTTTGCCTGTTAACTCTTTTAGTTTTTTACGAAAAAGGAAGCTGTTGTATCGTTGTTAAAGTTTTTCAATTTCTAAACAGAGGTATTTTTCTTTGTTTATGAATTTGCACTGCCTCCGAACGTCCATTAGATCTAAGATGTCTTGTGTTATCCAGTCATTTTTAGCTGTTGGTACTCTTAAGAGATTTTCTCGAGATGCAGTGATTATGGTTGTTTCCATTTGTTCCCAGCAATCATCTATGTTGTTGGTATCAGAGCACAGATACTGCATTAAAATATGGGCCTGCGCAGTTGCGTGATCTGTACTGTATAATGTAAAAATACTAATACTGTCGACATTTTCGTCCATAGTTTTCAATTATTTTGTCTTTATATTCCTTTTAGCTTGTTTTTTATTTTTCTTTATTCATGGGCGTTTGCTTTTCCTTTAAAAAATCGTTCAGTTCTAAAAATTTATTGTCGTTTTAGTAATATTTGTATTTTGTTTACTTACTTGCGTACTATTATTGCTAGATGTTGATCCTTGGCTGCTTTTTGAGCTTCGAGCTAGTGTGGGTCTTGGAATATGCCAACTCTTGTCGAGATCTGCTGCAGGAATCTGTAAAGAAATACATTTTTTTAAGTCACACTTGAGTACACCAAAATAAAATAAGGATTTTAATAAAAAAGGGATATTTTTATTTAAGGTTCTATTTGAAGTTCTAAATGGAAGTCAGAATTTCTTACCATATATAAAAAAAATTCTATTGTATAGTTTATTGATACGAAAAACAGATTTTTAAAGTTTTAAATGTTGAGAAATGCTCCTTAAACTTAAAATTTTTCCATTTTGGTAGTATCTTTTCTCATTTGGTAGTATGTCGCTTTTTTCTTCCCAGCACACTTGATGAATTAAGTACGGTTATTTCTCCAGATTTTCGTTTTTCCTTTCTTAACTATGGATAATTTATATCTTTATGTCTATTTCTTTGAACTTATTTTCTATTTTTAGGGATTGCTTACTTGTCTTTGTTCATCCTCTCTTTCTATAAATTGTATTTTCTGTGGAAGTTTCTTAAAGCAGGCCTGCCATTTTTTATCCAAATCCTAAATTGTGACCTGGCTTTTTATGAAAATCGTTCTCACAATTTCCGCTCTTTCGCGTGTTTCTATTTCCACTACAAATTTCAAACCAACAGAAGAATTAAACAATAACGTAGTAAAATTGAGCAAAGAATAATTCGTAGGTCAAACAGACCTTCGACTCAATTAAAAGACTAAAGCTATATAAAATATTGCAATTCATAAAAGCTAACACCGGCAAGAGTTAGGGGAAACAGACGCAGAGTTGAATTGGAGGACGATATTGAAACTGTAGAAAGTGGCATATCTGGGAGTCACATTAAACACGAATGGAACAGAAGAACCAGAAATTTAAAGAAGAATAGTAAAGGGAAACAAAGCTTACTTTTCACTCGCCCATTTGTTTCGCTCCAAAAACACACACTGGAGATCGAAAATCAGATGTACAAAACTATTATCAGATCAGTAGTATGTTACGGATGCGAGACATGGGTGATGAGAGAAGACACAAAACGAAAGCTGGAAGTCTTCGAACGAAACGTCCTATGGAAGATATTTGGACTTATTAACGAAAACGAAGTATGGAGATCCAAGTACAGCCATGAACGACTACCAATTGTTCAACTAGGCATCGATCTCAGAATTTGCTAAACTTTAGAGACTTCGATGGACTGCTCATGTAGTGAAAAAGGGCCCTTAAAAGGCCCCTAGACCTATTAAGGGCTCTAATGAAGTCCCTAGACGTGAGAACTTGGAGAAGATAAGGCCACAGCTCGATTTGGCTGTAGCGCCATTGGAGAGAGAGAGTAATAAAATTGAACCCATAAACTAATAAATAATAAACTTTGTAGTACAGTTAGAAGAGAGAATCAATGTAGATAATACAAAGGCACCAGTGGAGGGGAAAGTCTAAACATAAACAGAGATAGTAGAAAATAATAATCTTGGGATCTAAATTACCATAATTTCTAATGGAATAAAAAAATAACCATATGGACTGAGAGCTGACTGAAAAAAGGGACCAATTTTTCTCTTACAGTCTAATAGATTTGGTAAAAAGCATTATTTTGGTTTATTATTGCCTTTTTCACCTCTGTGTATTTTTCTCTACAATCTTTATAGCTTTGGTTTTTTGGTCAAGCTATTTTCTATGTACCTGTTTTTTTTTGTATTCTGGTGTATTTCGTTGTGGGACTTATTTTGTCTTCTTTATCACCAACTTCTTCAAATGTTGCTTCGATATTAACAAATCTAAATTTTTTAAGTTTTTTTGTTTATACGTTGTCAATTTTTAATTTTTATTTACCTAATAACGTTGCCATTTTTGTATATCTGCAATCCCATGCAACTATTCTCCCTCCTAGTTTGTTCTCTGCTAAAATAGACTATGTATTTCAAATTCCTTCGTATTATTTTCATTGTTCTGCACTCAATTTAAAATGTCAAACAGTCTAAATTACCATTAGAATCTAACAGGATTTGCGAAAAGATTTATCACATGCATTATAATTATGTGCATATTTATGTAAGTATTTATAACATTTTCCGGGATTTCAACAATCTTTGTAAAGGTGATATTGATTTAAAGTTTCATTAGAACTATTTCCCTAATTAGTAAGCCCGGTTTCGTCTTCTTAATATTTAGCAACAATGAAGGCAGACCTCGATTGGTTTTAATTTTGCAGTATAATAGAGATGTTCTTTCTAGTGAAACTAGAAAATCGGATCCGACGAGTCAATCGGATCCTCATCCGAAGGATTTTTGAACTATTCAAAGATTCTAAATATTAATGAAGGTAAATGGAAAAAGAATTTCTTGAGATATACTGCCATATACGTTAATGTATTTTTATGAAACTGATTACAATTTCTTGAGTTATTTTTGTTGCTTTATAAAAAACTTAAATATTTATCGGCAGGTGCTCTATTACTTTTTAGCTCAGCTGTATAACTGTGTCCTTTAAAATGTTATAGATCGTTAAATGTGTATGTGCTGTCAGGAATACAATCTGCAGTATGAGGGAGGTTACATTACCTTTGTTTGACTGTGGGTTGGGGGGTTAGTCTAGATTGCATTCTTAGTTCGCTAGTTTTTGTTTTCTTTTAAGTACACTTATTTCTGGGGCGAATTTAATCGAATTATCTTAAGTATTGATTGAAGCTGAATGAAATTGTTTCTGTTTGGTCAACCAATTTGGAAAGATTTACATTGTGTAACTATGAATATAAATCAAAAATCGACAGATCAAATATTTTGGCTGTTAGATAAATGGGTGGAAATATTAATGAGAAGTGTGTAATAACCGGACAAAGGAAAATTGTACGAAATACAAATATGGAATTAAATTGTAGTCAAGCGAACAAACCAATAATATCAAATAGTACAAAACACAGCAGCGAAACGATCAGGAAAAATAAATATAGAGAAGGGAGTAAGACAGTGGATGTGTCCTACTCACCCTTTTGCTGTTCAAATGTTTTACTCTGAAAGATATTTCAGAAAGTATTTGGAAGGCACCTCGGTTTGTATAATTATAAACGGGCAATGCCAAAATAACCTGCGAAATGCTGATGACACACTGTCATACTGCAGATAATGCTGAAGCCCTGCCACCTTAATGACCGATAAACGACATACCCTGTAGAGAAATTAGATATGAAAGAATACAAAGAAGACAAAAACCGATGGTCATCAGCAAGCACCAAAACAAAGAGTGTGAATGGTCACGTCGACGGAACAATCTGGCAAGAGTAACAAGAACAACGTAACCATGGAAGTAATCTTGATGACACTTGGACCCGAACTCACTAGAGATAAAATAACGGCCTGGAAAAGGCAAGTACAAGTTTTACAAAAGTGCAAAAAGTTCTATGCAACCCCAGCTTGGCATCACATTGAGAACTAGAAAACTTACTAGCTATGTTTTCTCCACCTTCGCTCTATGGTGATGAGCCGGGACAATGACAGAAGCAAACACCAAAAGAATCCAAGCATTCGAACACTGTTGTTACCGTAAAATGCTCGGGAGAATAAACCAACATGAGCCATACACAAATTCGGAAGTCTTGCGGAGGATGAATAAGGAAAGAAAGCTTATGCTTATAATAAAAGAATGAAAAACACAATATTTTTGGTCACAGTATAAAAATCAGAAGTATGAACTGCTCCAACTTAGAAGCTAAGGCAAAGTCAATATCAAAAGAGGACACAGGAAGAAGACGCAACACCTGCTTAAAAACCTACGGTAGATGGAAACGAACATGACTCCATAAACTATTAGGGCTACTACAAATAAAATTAAATGGTCAAAAGTAATGGCCAACGTCCTTAAGATAAGGAACATAAGAAAAGAAACTAAAACATTGATCATAAAATTGGCAAGTTTCATTATATATGAGGAACAATTTACATAATTGAAGAATGTGACGAGGAACTATACAATGATAATACTTTATAAGACAATGACCCTACCTACTCTGTTATATGGACGTGAAACAAACAGATAATTATTGAATTCAAGGATGATATATTCCTCAGAAGAGTGGAATTCATTACAAGGCAGAGAAATGAAGACGCAAGGCAAGAATTAGGACGTAAGAAGAAACTAAAAGAATATAGGACAAATTAAAAACAACAGTATGCCCAAACCCTGGAATGAAAAAGAAGAAGACTACAAGTTAGATTTGTAGACTAGTTTACAGCATTTACATCTATTTACTATGAAATTATATAAAAATTATAGAGATCAGTGGCTTCTAGATGTAAAGAAGAACATCTGCCAACATTTCTCCTCTAGCAAATGATGCAGTTGAAGTTGAGAGAGGAAAAACTTGTGAGAGAAGTAGTAGAGTGTGGAATTTAGAAGAGGATTGTAAGATAAACATTTTGGATGGATAATCTAGAACGAGTGCTGGGGCAAGCCAAAGAGCATTGGTGAATGTAACCGATAAAGATAGTCTGTAAGAAGATTATGATCAATTTACTTTTACTATTTATGAGATATACTGTAACAGCGAATGTTGATACCAATAATTTTTTTAAACTCTATAAAATTTTTGTGGATAATGCTTGAAAATATATCAAAAAAATAGAACATTAAAATCATCAGTCTAAATTTTCCGATAATATGTCTTATTTTGAATCGTTTGAGTGATTCGTTCTTTAGTATTGAGCTGTTTACACCTCTAGGCGGCCTTCCTTTTATAATATTTAGCGAATATATGCTAATAGACCATATGATCGGTTTTCACGCAATACCGGATCTATTCTTTAGCTAGACAGTCAGAACTTTGGAATTTTTATGACACTTGCGATTGGAGGTGGGTGGTTGTTATGTATTGTGAATATTACCGTATTAGCACGATCACAAGTTCAACAAACTTGTGGGATTTTTTAAATTTGCGGGTTTTTTGAAACGATAAAACGGTTTTATCTTGTCTAGTAACTGTCTTTAAGACATTTAGTGAATAAAATAATCATTTTGAGCAGACAACTCAAATAAATAGTGTCTATATTGTATTCCATTAGAAAATGAA